TTTTAAGATACTTTTTTATTTTTACATGGGATGCCTTGCAAGGGCTGTCACACTAAGCAGGGTGAGAGGTGACAGACTGCAGCATTACTCAGCCCCCTTCATACTTGCCAGCCAGAATTAGCTTCAGCAGTGCCACAACCAATACTAGATTTAGTGCCTTTCCCAGACTTTGAGTTTCCCTTCCACGTACAGTCTGCCTATTTTGGCTTTCCTGTGCAGTATGGGCTGGTATGAGGAACCCCAGCTTTGGAGCTAGCATCCATAGGGGAAAAAAACCCCACCAAACCCAGACAAAATCCCCAACACTCATTTAAAGGCTCACTGTCCTGCCAGGTAACAAACCCACTGACCATAGGAGGCTCTGCGTAGTGGGAAACGACACTATCTCAGCAGAAGGCTGCTCCTGCAGTGTCCTGCCATGTCCTAATGAAGACAGTCTGCCAGAGAACAAAGATTAGCCGTGTCTGAGACCTCGCCGGGTCAATTCAATCAAGGAAATTCAAAGGCATGTTGGGTGGGTAACTCTGGAGCAGGCTATTACTATCACTAATGTAAGCCACACGGCAATATTTCGCTGCCAAGGCTTTCATCTGGCGCTAAAACGACGTCTCAGGAACATAACGCCAGGAGAGACAAAAAACAAAAGCAAAAGTATCTCCGTCAGGCAAACGCCCACTTCCCCCTACCTGCCCCCCATGCTGTAACGGTGAGAGTTGTTTCAGAGCGTTAAAATTGGGGTTGAGGGGAGTTTTCTTTTCTAATCAGCTTACTTAGAAGAATTGTCGTTCTGTTCCGAATATATAACCAACCGAGCAGTAACTTAAAACCTCAAGCTCTGAGTACCCTTGGATGGAGACCAAGAAGCCTGAACGCTCTATCCATGCAGCTCTGATTAGCTACTTCCATGCCTGCGCCGAGCACGAGGCATGTTTCAAAACCATTTGAAAATGGCTCTTTCAGTGCTGTGCTCCAACACAGGTTAACCACCTGAGAGGTAAAAGAGTGCCAGACCACGCTACAAATTTTCTTCTGAAGCAGTGGCTAAGGGGGGGCTTGGTTTGCCTCCTTGGCTAAGCCAAAGAGCTGGGAAATGCATCAGGAGGAGCCATCTCCAACCTGGTTTTCAAACATGCCTCCTTCCCCTTAGAAGCGGGGCGAATCAAAATAGGGCCAAAGTTTGTTTGCAAGGTTTGTGAACCTTAACAAACCACTTCCTCAGCAGACCATCCTGGTCTGAATTTTGAGTTCATAACGAAAACTGAAACCTGGCCGGTGTCTGGTGGTTTGGGATTTGACAGAGAGTAGTGCACATGGCCCTAGTTATTGGCTAAAGAAATACAGTGTGGCTGTGTCTACAAAAGAGAACTAAATCCCTGAAAACTGGATTGGTAAAATAGCAAGTGTTATTAGAAAAAGTGTAATGTGCAATGGCAGCCTAAGTACTTCTGTGGTAGTTTTTTTTTTGCAAAAAGCCCGCACTTAGGATGAATTTGGCACTATTTCAACTGCATTATCCTTTAATTGTCTAGCCCACGGCTTTCATCACAACTACCTGAAGATCTGGCTTTTTTTGGCCGAACGGGGAGATCTTCCAAGAGTCCAGGGTAACCGTGGAAGAACAGTCTGCACTCTTAGGGAAGAAACATAAATCTCCGATAGGTCTGCTAAAACTTCAGGAAGGAACTGGACCTTTGACACAACGGCCCATCTGCTTCTCTTACAGCCAGCACTACACAGCGTTTGTAAATGGTGCTCAGCAACTGAAACACAGACTTTGTCCACAAATGGAAAGAGACAGGAAAAAGACTACATAAATCCTTATGTCTGACATGAAATACAGAATCATAGAATTGCCCAGGTTGGAAGGGACCTTGAAGATCACCTACTCCAACCATCAACCTCACTCGGATAAAAAAACCCCATCACTAAACCATGTCTCTAAGCACTATGGCAACCCGGCTTTTAAATCCCACCAGGGATGGGGCCTCAACCCCTTCCCTGGGCAGCCCATTCCAAGGCTTAAGAACACTTTCTGTGGAAACTTTTGTCCCAATCTCCAACCTGAACCTCCCCTGGTGCAACTGGAGGCCATTTCCTCTTGTCCCATCACCTGGGACTTGGGAGAAGAGACCGACCCCCCCTGGCTACACCCTCCTTTCAGGGAGTTGGAGAGAGCCAGAAGGTCTCCCCTCAGCCTCCTTTTCTCCAGGCTCAACACCCCCAGCTCCCTCAGCCTCTCCTCACAAGACTTCTTCTCCAGACCCCTCACCAGCTTCAAGTAGGTAAGGACCAAAACTATCTTTGCAAATGGCTACTTGTGTTCTCTTGCCAGCTTTTACTGACCTTGAAGCTTCAGTGTTAATTCCTGTCTGTTGCCTCTTAACAACTTGTATTGTCCATATACATTCTGCAAGAAATGTTTAGTGAAGTACACACAGATAAAATCCACCACATATCAAACAGATATAGTTTATCCTGGCATGACAAAATCTGATACACCTCAGCTGCAATTTAGGTCTTTTCCCCACCATTTCTAATTGTCCTTATCTTTAAAATATAATCTGAAATGCTGCATATTGAGGAGGTGAGCCTAGAAGGCAAGTAAATTCCCCAAATCAGATTTCCTCCCTTTCAGCAGCACTAAACTTGTGCTTTCAATTTACTAGAAATATTAAACATAATTTCATAGTAACATGTCATTTACTCTCATTAGTTACCTGGCACCAGCCCTTTTATAGATTTATTCCATTACTTTCCCCTGTGACCTGTAATTTCATGTGACAGTTCTTTCAGCATTCAGAACTGGAGATTACCTACTCTCCTCACTTGATCGGAGTAAGCATTTTGAATTTTGCTTCACCTCATTTGGGTTTCTCCACATCCTCATTCCTGTTTGTCATCCTGCCAATCATCTCTCTTATTTGAAAACTGAGGTCTGGTATTTGCTCAATTTTTGGGGTTATACTTTGAGAATCAAATCCTTGCCGTATTTTTAGTTCATACAGCATTCCAATTTCATCTCTTTACTTCTCTTGTTGTCTTTCTATTTCTATAACCAAAGAACTTCTTGCTGCTTGCTTTAATTTTCTTTTCAAGGTTCAACTCAGTCCGATTTCTGGCAGCTCTCACTTTGCCTGTATACTTCCTGACATCCAAGACATAGCTTTCTTTGCCGGTTGATCCTTTTTTCCATCCCTTGTAAGCTCCCTGCTTACTCTTAATATCCCCTTCGAGATGGTTATTCTTCCAGTTAGGGCTGGGGCCCTCTTGGTAAGTCTTTTCCACCCACCTTGTTGGGTTCCAAATTGCAGATAGTTTCGTACCTTTGACTTGAGAAATTCCAAACTTCCTCCACATTCAAATCCCTGTATTTCTCATGCCAGTTGACTTCACTAACCGGTTCCCTTAAAATTTATCATATGGATATTTCAGAATGTATACCATTACATAGTCCTTCATATGTTTAAAACACAAGTACCACTAACTTCAGTTGCAGCTGTGAACGCTCAGCACTTCTGCAAACCAGACCCTAGAGTCTCCTGTCAGGACCCCAGAAATGAGGAACACACAATTAGTGACCACCTGTGGAAAAGTGTGATGCCTGGCAAAGCACAGGGACGGAATGGTAAAGGGAGAGGGAGAGAATCCAACTGTGTGAGCCAGTATTCAACGATTGTAGCCATATGACTTGTTCTTTTTCTTCCTACAGCCGCCTTGTTCCACCTCTATACCTCTCAGGGGTTTTTCTAACTAATGAAGCAAGAGCACTGCAGACAATACCTTGCCCTGGTACTCATTCCTGATTCACTCCCAAAGCAGGGCAGTGAGTAAATGGCCTGTGGAGACAAAATAGCAAACAAAACTCCAAAAAACCACTATGTCTGCAATTTAAGATGGTATCAGAGAGCAGATTTGTGGAATGGGGCAGGGAAATGTAATCAAGATTGCAAAGTTCAGAGCGCTTTGGAAATTTTCTAACTGAAACTTTAATAGTATTCCCAATATGTATTTTGCTGTGCATTTTGGCTTGTTTTTTATGTTTTTTGAAAGCAAAGTGAAAAAACAGAAGTTCCATCACGTAACTACTTGTAAGCGCTGCACTGTCAACCATATGAATTTTCCACACGGATCTAAGTCATTTAATTTAATGGCGTAGCTTATAGCAATAGGTTGTTGACCTCTTTATTGGCAACACTGAAGTGGGATGACACACACTCTGGTAGCATTTAAACAGACTTTTGCTGACAGCAGAGTAGCTGTGAGGGGACCTAAATATCACATGTACTACTGCATATTTCTCAGCTATTTGTCTATCCCATGTCAGCATGACCCCGCCTGTCTCCTCTGACACAGCTTTGCCTTCACTGATCTCCTCCCTGCTGCTGCCTCAAGATCCAAATTTCATCTTTCTCATGAAACCTTTCCACTCGCTGCTCCCAGCACAGCTCTCTCCTTACCCTAAAAATGAGAGTCCTCTGGATGCTTATGCACAGTCTCTTTTCTTCTCCCAATCCTAGTCGTAATGCCCAGACAGCCTCAATTCTCATTTTACGTTGTAGCTCCTCATCTGCTAAGTCTTGCCACTCTATGACAACTTCCCCCAACCATCCACCCTTTCTTGTCGCCATGTATGTTCCAACACATAATAGATATACAGTCTTTGTACCTACCTTCTCACCAGCTGTTTGCCCTCAACTCTTTACCCAGCCAGTTAGTCCCAATTTTCTTTCCCCTGCTTCATAGAATCACAGAATCATCTCAGTTGGAAGGGACCTTTCAGAGCATCAAGTCCAACCATCAACCCAACACTGACAAACACCATCACTAACCCACGTCCCTCAGCACCACGTCTGCCTGCCTTTTAAACACCTTCAGGGATGGCAACTCCTCCACTTCTCTGGGCAGCCTCTTCCAATGCTCAATAACCCTTTTGGTGTAAAATTTTTTCCTAATATCCATCCGAAACCTCCCCCTGGCATAACCGACATACTTTGTGGCTCTGGCTTCTGTGGGTGCTTTGGCTTGTAGAGCTGAGAGGGCTGGTGGTATTGGAAGGGATATTCTGCCACTGACTTTGGCTGTAGTCAAAGCTGGTGGAGACTGGAGGTGACAGTTCTCCTGTAAATGCAAAAAGTTGCTTTCTTGAAAGAGGAACTCATCCTCAAAGACAGTAATGGTCTAAAGTTAAGCAGCTCAAAGGCATTTTGTGCCTGATGATCTAGAAAGACTTCTCTTTAGCAAACCTTTCTCTCCCTCTCTTCTTTCCCCTGCCCAGCTATCTTCTAATCCTGTTTTCATTTCCCAGCCAGCACTAGGTTCTTCCACCTTCTCATCCACTGCCACAGAATCACAGAATGATATGGGGATGGAAGGGCCCTCTGGAGATCATCTAGTCCAACCTCCTGCCAAGGCAGGTCCACCCAGAGAAGGTTGCATGGGAATGTGTCCAGGCGGGTTTGGAATGTCTCCAGAGAAGGAGACTCCACCACCTCTCTGGGCAGCCTCTTCCAGGGCTCTGTCACCTTCAAAGTAAAGAAGTTCCTCCTCGTGTTTAGGTGGAACTTATGCTCAAGTTTGTGCCTGTTACCTGTTGTCCTGTCACTTCCCTTCTTTCTCCTGGTGGCTTCCGCTCTGTCCTTATAATTCGTCCACCTGATGCCTTCTTAATCTCAAGAACATCTCGTGACAGTGGTTGTGACAGATCAATTTATACATTCAGGATCAGAATCACAGAATCATAGAATTGTTAGAGTTGGAAGGGACCTTAAAGATCATTGAGTTCCAACCCCCTTGCCCTGGGCAGAGACACCTCCCACCAGACCAGGTTGCTCAAAGCCCCATCCAGCCTAGTCTTGAACACTTAGAAAGAAGATTTTTTTAAATCAATTTTAGATGTTTTTCTTTTATACTCAATATATGTCCCAATCTGCAGAAAATATTCTGATGTTTGGTGTTAGATATATGTGAATCAAATCCTCTTCTTGCCTCTTAAGTACGTCTTCCCATTTTTTCTCCCCCCTTTCACAGAGGGAAACAGCTCAGCCTCTCAGCCACACAAGAAAAAAAATTTCTACTTCCCTTACGTGACTCATTACAGTGAAACAAACTTGAACAGAACATCAGGAATGGAAAGTTGGACACCTTCGAAATACATAGATAAACTAAGGTATTGGGAGAGAAAGAGAGGGAAATATTTTGCATGGACAGTTTACAAACCCACAGCACTCTTAGAAGCAACTGCTGCTCCACGGATACAGATGAACTGAAAATAGGGCTGGTTTCTCTGATAACTCTGTGTTTCAAATCAAATAACTCACCTCATAGCAGTTTCTAGCACATTTTAAGATACTTTTTTATTTTTACATGGGATGCCTTGCAAGGGCTGTCACACTAAGCAGGGTGAGAGGTGACAGACTGCAGCATTACTCAGCCCCCTTCATACTTGCCAGCCAGAATTAGCTTCAGCAGTGCCACAACCAATACTAGATTTAGTGCCTTTCCCAGACTTCGAGTTTCCCTTCCACGTACAGTCTGCCTATTTTGGCTTTCCTGTGCAGTATGGGCTGGTATGAGGAACCCCAGCTTTGGAGCTAGCATCCATAGGGGAAAAAAACCCCACCAAACCCAGACAAAATCCCCAACACTCATTTAAAGGCTCACTGTCCTGCCAGGTAACAAACCCACTGACCATAGGAGGCTCTGTGTAGTGGGAAACGACACTATCTCAGCAGAAGGCTGCTCCTGCAGTGTCCTGCCATGTCCTAATGAAGACAGTCTGCCAGAGAACAAAGATTAGCCGTGTCTGAGACCTCGCCGGGTCAATTCAATCAAGGAAATTCAAAGGCATGTTGGGTGGGTAACTCTGGAGCAGGCTATTACTATCACTAATGTAAGCCACACGGCAATATTTCGCTGCCAAGGCTTTCATCTGGCGCTAAAACGACGTCTCAGGAACATAACGCCAGGAGAGACAAAAAACAAAAGCAAAAGTATCTCCGTCAGGCAAACGCCCACTTCCCCCTACCTGCCCCCCATGCTGTAACGGTGAGAGTTGTTTCAGAGCGTTAAAATTGGGGTTGAGGGGAGTTTTCTTTTCTAATCAGCTTACTTAGAAGAATTGTCGTTCTGTTCCGAATATATAACCAACCGAGCAGTAACTTAAAACCTCAAGCTCTGAGTACCCTTGGATGGAGACCAAGAAGCCTGAACGCTCTATCCATGCAGCTCTGATTAGCTACTTCCATGCCTGCGCCGAGCACGAGGCATGTTTCAAAACCATTTGAAAATGGCTCTTTCAGTGCTGTGCTCCAACACAGGTTAACCACCTGAGAGGTAAAAGAGTGCCAGACCACGCTACAAATTTTCTTCTGAAGCAGTGGCTAAGGGGGGGCTTGGTTTGCCTCCTTGGCTAAGCCAAAGAGCTGGGAAATGCATCAGGAGGAGCCATCTCCAACCTGGTTTTCAAACATGCCTCCTTCCCCTTAGAAGCGGGGCGAATCAAAATAGGGCCAAAGTTTGTTTGCAAGGTTTGTGAACCTTAACAAACCACTTCCTCAGCAGACCATCCTGGTCTGAATTTTGAGTTCATAACGAAAACTGAAACCTGGCCGGTGTCTGGTGGTTTGGGATTTGACAGAGAGTAGTGCACATGGCCCTAGTTATTGGCTAAAGAAATACAGTGTGGCTGTGTCTACAAAAGAGAACTAAATCCCTGAAAACTGGATTGGTAAAATAGCAAGTGTTATTAGAAAAAGTGTAATGTGCAATGGCAGCCTAAGTACTTCTGTGGTAGTTTTTTTTTTGCAAAAAGCCCGCACTTAGGATGAATTTGGCACTATTTCAACTGCATTATCCTTTAATTGTCTAGCCCACGGCTTTCATCACAACTACCTGAAGATCTGGCTTTTTTTGGCCGAACGGGGAGATCTTCCAAGAGTCCAGGGTAACCGTGGAAGAACAGTCTGCACTCTTAGGGAAGAAACATAAATCTCCGATAGGTCTGCTAAAACTTCAGGAAGGAACTGGACCTTTGACACAACGGCCCATCTGCTTCTCTTACAGCCAGCACTACACAGCGTTTGTAAATGGTGCTCAGCAACTGAAACACAGACTTTGTCCACAAATGGAAAGAGACAGGAAAAAGACTACATAAATCCTTATGTCTGACATGAAATACAGAATCATAGAATTGCCCAGGTTGGAAGGGACCTTGAAGATCACCTACTCCAACCATCAACCTCACTCGGATAAAAAAACCCCATCACTAAACCATGTCTCTAAGCACTATGGCAACCCGGCTTTTAAATCCCACCAGGGATGGGGCCTCAACCCCTTCCCTGGGCAGCCCATTCCAAGGCTTAAGAACACTTTCTGTGGAAACTTTTGTCCCAATCTCCAACCTGAACCTCCCCTGGTGCAACTGGAGGCCATTTCCTCTTGTCCCATCACCTGGGACTTGGGAGAAGAGACCGACCCCCCCTGGCTACACCCTCCTTTCAGGGAGTTGGAGAGAGCCAGAAGGTCTCCCCTCAGCCTCCTTTTCTCCAGGCTCAACACCCCCAGCTCCCTCAGCCTCTCCTCACAAGACTTCTTCTCCAGACCCCTCACCAGCTTCCTTGCCCTTCTCTGGACCCGCTCCAGCCGCTCACTATTTTTTTTTTTTTGTGGGAAGGGGCCCAAAACCGGACACAGCACTCAAGGTATATCATTCATAAACAAATGAAATGTCGTTTTTTCAGTGCATATAATAAGCCTTGTACCTGGCATAAGAGTAGAAATCATCAAAGAGGTCTCTGGATATGCTGTGGACTCAGTGCTTTTCCAGCTGTTGCTTTATACAGTTCTTGACAGAGGCAATGAGGCCAATGGACATCATTAGCCCAAATCAGTTTGGAATCCGGCTCCCAGTTCTGATAGAGAGAAACAAAAAAAAAAAAAAAAGGTTTATTTCAGACTCTAATATCTTTTATATATTGTTCTGACTCCAGCTCTATAAGGTTCATCGGAAAGGATTCTTCCTCTCCTCCACCATTAGTTTAGGAAGTAGACTGAAATTGTATCGATCAAAGCACTGACAAAAACAATTTGGCCCCAGCCGGGGAATGAAGGATGCTGAATACGAGCCAGCTGGGCTGGTGTAAGTCGGCGTTGTTCTCTGGGCTTCACTGAGGTTAGGGACAACCAGGTGATGATTTGCCTCCGTATCCCTATGCTGATGCACGCGGGCGGAGCCTGACGTGTAACTCTCCCCAACAAGAATGGGATTTAAGTGCATAAATCTTTATGCGTTATGATGAAATATATCCCATGAAAAAAAATCAGACTTCTATTTTGTGTTTGTGTCATAAAACTTAAAAGAAGTGAAAATTTTAGCTGGGAGGGAACTTTTATGACCTAGTTATAAATCTCTGCGAGGAGCGGTTTGCTATTGAAACACTGACAAACTCTCAAGCAGAACAGTGCAAGTGGGTGCGCCAGTAACATCCCCTCCAAATTCTACTCCAGTGCAGTCAGTGTGTCTCATGCCAGCATTTAGAGTCCACAATGAAATAACCAGTACAAAGAGAGGAAAATAGTCATTTCTGAATTACTGTCCCTCTTCAGAAAATAACCACAAAAACTGGGTAATTTTGTTACTAGAATGTTGTGGTTCATATGTTCTAACAAGAGACTGTCAAAGAGAAAGCAACATATTCCCTCTTGTATATGTAAACAGGAGAAGGGGAGCACTAAGAAATTGGTCACAACGGTACTGGTGTGACAAAGAGAAAGCATTCTGTGTTGTCCTTAGAGATAATTAAATGTTTTTTAGATTCCTCTTTGTCTATTTCATAAGACTGTTTCATAATTTTTCCCCCCTCTAGGTCTGTTTCATTGCTACTTAAATCATATTTCTGCTTTTTAATTTTCCTTTTTTTTTTTTTTTTTTTTTTTTTTTTTATAGACATGAAGCTTAATGAATCTAACAAAAGCTTTTCAAATATTCTCAATTTTAACATCTTTATCATATCAAGGTGCCTTGATCAATGAATCAGTCTTTTTTTTGTGCAGTTTGTCTCCCGTGCCCTTTCCTGACAAAACTGCTCTTCAGAGAGAATGACATTTCTGTTTTATAATCCCACTGATGGAATTAATGACTACGCTTATTAATCAGGATTATTGGAATTTCCCGTCTTTCTGTTTCATAGTAGCACTCCACCTCTGCTTGCCAATCATAATTATAACTACTGACTCTATCGCGTTTTGCTTTTTTAAGTGAAATAAAACGTTTGGCTTGGCCCCGTGCCAAGCATGGGGTCATTCCCAAACTTGTAATAACACATCCTTAGCTGATGTCTCTTAGTAACACGTGTAAATAGGAAAAAACAGTCGCACTGCGGGGGTTTAGCTTGGCCACATGTGACTACAGTTAAAGAACATGGGAAGAAAACGAGTGGTCTTTCCATGAATAAGCCGTCCAGTCCAAGGGCGAGCAACGCTGCGCACAGACAGACGTGCAGACAGACGTACAACCTCAACCACTTCTCTTTGCTCACCACCAAAATGGGGCAGCCTGTCCCCTTCTTCCCCACGAACCGGCCACGCAACCTCCCCCTTGGAGCTGAGATGGGGAGCTGAGCCTCCAAGAGGAGTCCAGCAAAAACACGGTGAAATCTCCCAGAATATTCCTCCTGATGATCTCCTCTTCACCTCTGGCAGAGCTGAGATCCTGCTACAATTAAAAACACATCTCGGGAATAATGACATTACAAGTGGCTTCTCGGTAGCACCCTCCGGATAAAAGCAGAATGATAGATGTCGCTCTGAGAGACGGGCCAAAGCTGTGAAGCCTTTGGATCTTGGATAAACCAAGACGTTTGAGATCAAGGCTTTTTGCTCTGACCGTTACAAAAAATGGGCTGCCCTTCAGCTTGGCTCAGATTTTGGAACGCCTAGCAACTGGGGCTGAGGAACTTGTGAACCGAGGCTATTTCACACTCATGGAGCAAAAACCGCCCCACGCTCTGCTGCAGAGCAAAATTTTACCAAAAGAGACATTTGATATGGAAATAATATGTAAAGCAGCAAACATACTGAACATGTGAAACTGCCCTGAAGTTATTTTTTCCTGCCAGAGGCCCCGGTGACTTTCATTGTTCAGATTTCTGCTGATTGTTTCAGATTTAAGCGGGTTTAACGCCGGCGTTCGGCCGCGAGAACAGTTGGAGGCTGAACATGGCTATTAGGACAAAAAGAAAGAAATTAATGTCAGGGCAAAACAATTCACTTAACAGGTACCCCTAACACTCTGTGTAGCCACAGGTGTGGTAAAGGCACTGCCCAGCTCTACACGGGGCATTCAGGGTCAGCTACAGCTCCCTTAGTCCCGCAGAACTACTCACCCTCCTGTCTTGAGACCCGGAATGGGGCAAAGCTGGGGGCTGCACACCAGAGCTTCCCTCTTCAAGGGCCAGGTGCCCGTGCAGAGGTATGAACACAACCTTCTGAAACCGCTCTGCATCAGTCTGAGACGGAATTTGGCAATGTAGAAAAGAGCATCTTGGCAAAGGAAGAAAAAAAAAAAACAAAACCAGAATTGTAAACCGAATGTGCTTAAATAGAGTTTTACCCGGCGTTTTCCTCCTCCCTGCCCTTCCAGAGTCATGATCTGCAGAGTCATCTGCAAAGAAAACCTCTCTTGCCTCTCCACTGTGCATGGGGACAATATATCCCCGATGTGCCCATGGGACAGATCATATGTGCCCACGGGATATAAATACAGGGACACCATATGCTTTTCTCCATTACAAATTTCTCTTTGACTCTTAGCGACCCGAGTGACTTTGTCTAAAGATGATCCCGTGCAACAGGACCGTGTTCCCAAGGCCAGATGAGTACACCACGGACTGGGAGGAATCCTTCGTGTGTGGTTTGGTGGTTATGGCAAGGAACCGGCAGATGCGGCTCTTGGGAATTGATGTTTGCTGACACACTGGTGTGCAGCACAGCAGACTCGAGGCAGGTGGAAAATGAAGCAACATCAACCAAAAATGATGTGCTTGGATTATCATTCCTACAGTGTAACATGAAATAGTGAACATTTTGTTTTTCACATGAACGCCACAGAACATTAACGTAACTCGTACAGAAGCAGGTGTCCCCTCTATATTTTCCATACTATAAAGTTTCCCATATGGGAAACTGGAAAGTAAGTCCAGATCTCGGCCCAGGCTATGGTGGTTGTATTTTTGGAATCAGTCTGCTGGCACAAAGGAACTGCAAAAATGGTTTAGCAAGATATCCAAATATTTCCCTGTCATGGATCTACCAATGGGAGTCAGCTGGAGATCCACTTCAGTCAAAGCAAGCAAGTATAAGCAAGAGGCCAATCTCACCTTCACGTGGGGTTGATCTGAGTAGAACAGGTCTACAACCACCAAAGAATCTCAAAATCTCTGAAGTTTTTACCATTCTCTCTCCACCCCTTTCATTTAGTTTTTTATGGATCCAAACTTTCCTTTGCTACGTTATGGACTCCGTGTTGGTTATAGTACAATGGAGATGTCATACAAAACCATGCACTGCACTAGCTGAGCGTGAGAGGCAGTGGGAATAATCCCCCAAATCTCCCTGGGTTAAAAGCAGTAACAACAGCTGGAGTTACCCGAGTTTCCCATATTCAGTGGATGCCTCTGAAGACGATGTGTATTACATGGTGTGAACACTGTAAATATGGGTACCAGGATATTAGGGAATGGGAATTATTACTAAGGGTGCCCAGTATAAGCTTCAGGTTCCCAGAAGCTAGGCAGAATCCATTTATGTTGAGTGCTTATTCCCTAAATACATAAATTACTTCTCTCTCTACATGGCCCTGTGCTCTCTCTGAGGCACAGCACCCCTGACTTTTTTCGAGGGGACAAGTATTTTATTCCAGCAAGGCTGGAGCTAGCAATCTAGTCAAGGTCCTCCGCAGCCGTAAGGAACTACAGCAGGAAAATGGGAAGGATTTACTGTGTTGGTTTTTTTTATATATATATTTTATATATTAAAATATAGATATTATACTTTATATATATTTTTTTTATATATATATATACCTTTCCTCACAGAGAGGACTCCTCACACGTACGTAATGACATTTCTTCACATGATGGCCCTGCTGCTGGTACACACACAGCACTTTCACACTAGAAAAGGATAAAAACCATGTGACAAAGAGGCTACGACACATATAAGTAGCAAAATAACCTCAGGAGCTACGTCACATATGTGTGTCACCTTCATCTTTCATTTACCACCACAGACACTCTGGTACAGCCGATTCATGTTGCTACCTTAAAACTTGGAATTCAAACACGGTTTTAAGGGAACTGTGTAATTCTATTACAAGGAGATATTCAGTGTTTAGATAGCTGCTTGGCACTTGACACAGACATCTCTGAACAGACAGGAATAAAATCAAGGCTCGCATGTAGACTAGAGAATGAACCAACGGTGTTTTTCTCCGACTGCCGTGAAATGCTCATTTAACCTTGACCAGAGATGCTGGAAAGGAGCCTGTGTGAAATTAAAGCAGCAGAGATCAGGGTCAAATCCTCAGCTGGTAAAACTGTCGGAGCCGGACTGAGGTAAACGGTGTTAAATCCACACTATCAAATGGGACAGTCCGCGTTACATCATCCAAAAACCACTTTAAAAGTATGAAAAGGCAGCTAGAAAGCTCAGCAAGAACAAATGGGTTACAGAGCAGGAAAAGCTCCTAGTCATTAAATAAGGGTCAAGCATATGGGCCAGTAAACTTCCCTTCATTTGATCAATTACGCTTTAAAAATCAAATGAAAACCATTCTTAAGGATATGTCAAACAGTTAAAGCCACAAGAGTGTCCCACGGTTGGGTAAGAGTAAGGCAGTAAATCAGATCTTCTCGTAGGCCTAGCAAAGGCAGGGCAAACAACAACAAAACAGACAAAGGCAGCAGAGCTGGGTATCATTTGAACTGGACACTGCAACAGATGTATCTTGAGAGCATACAGAAAGCAAAAAAAAAACCCAAACAAACCACTAAAATAAAAATTCTGGCTTTTTTCCACTTCCAGTCCCCAAAAGCCATGAAGAAGTTGAGATACAAGGACATCACCACTGCTTTCAAACAGGCCACGCTGCTATTGACTTCAGCTGAACCAGGCTTTGGTGTCCTGGTTTTAATTTATCATATTATCGAAGCTGTACATGGATATAAATCCACACCAGAGCAAAACTAGAATAATGCTGTAGTTAATCAGGCCTAATGAAGCAATGGCCCTCTAGGTCAGAAATGCAGCTGTATCTCTGATGTTGGGATTAATATTCGCTCAACTTTGAAATCAGCTGAAAAAGATTCTTGCTATGGATGTCAGAGATCACATACACAACCCTCAGATCTATGTGACCCGGAAGAAAAAATAAAAGCCACACAAAGAGATGCAAATCAATAATTCTAATGATCCACCTGCCAAAAGAAATTCCATTGGCTAAGCACTAATGTAAAAAATCAACTTGATAATATGGATGAAGCCTAACAGCACAAATAGCTGCAGATTCATAAATGTCTTCTTGCAGTCCAAGTGACAAAGAAGCAATACTTTTTTTCTCTTTTAATACATAATTATTATGTATTAATACATATTACTGAAGAGGGAGATGCTCCAATCCCTCTGTCATCTCTGTTGCCCTACGCTGGACTCTCTCCAGCAGTTCCCTGTCTCTCTTGAACTGGGGAGCCCAGCACTGGACGCAGGATTCCAGTTGTGGCCTCCCCAGTGCAGAGCAGAGGGGGAGAATGACCTCCCTCAACCTTTTGGCCACACTCTTCCCTACACAGCCCAGGATCCCATTGTCCCTGCTGGCCACAAGGGCACATTGCTGGTTCATGGAGAGTTTACTATCCACCAGGACCCCCAGGTCCTTCTCCTCAGAGGTGCTTTCCAGCAGGTCCACCCCTAACCTGTACTGGTGTCTGGCATTCTTAAGTCTGTGCCATGTCTGGCACACTTGGTGCAAGAAAGGCAGTAACTTGATTTATACCTACACCTCTCAACAGCACTGCAGACACCATTTGATCCTAAACAGAACACAAATACTATGCCTACATTGCTACAGAGAATTTTGGCGCATTGTTTCAAGCTTTGCAGATGAAGCATAATACTTTACTTACATAAATTAATTGCATTCTAATTGAAAACGTATTTTACAAACTGTTTTTTGGTCTTTAGCCCCAACTAGAAGACGGATATGAAAGATAATTTGACTTCAGGATGGGTCACATGCTTAGCAAAGCAATAAACAGATCTCCAGATAATTTGACTTAAGGATGGGTCACATGCTTAGCAAGGCAATAAACAGATCTCCACCAACTGAAAATAAAGCACATTCTTTCTCATTCTGCGGAGTCAGAAAACTATCACAGAGATGTATTTCTCCCCTCTAGTTTTGTATTAAATAAAATCCACTGTTTTAGAAGGACAGAGTAAGCAAAGAGCATTTAAATCCCCACACTTCTGGCATTTTAGGAAGAAAAGAACAAAGAGAACCTTGCAGTGTCAAAAGGAGAAATCTGATGATTTCAGCAGCTTAGGGAAAACACAGCATCACAGGTATGGAAAAAAGTTAGCAAAGGACAAGGCAAGTTTTGTTATGGGCTGGGGTATATGCTTAGATAAAAGACACGATAGTTCCAAAGAACACAAATGAAAAAAAACGATTCAAGTTCATGAAATGACAGACTATGGGAAAAGCAAGGGAGAATTTGACCTAAAAACCTACTTCTTAGAATATGATTCCTACTCTAAAATTCAAAGAGAAGCCAAAACTAATAAACAATTAGTCCAGCATCGATGTTTCAGCATATCAAATCATGATGTGCAAGGCGAAGCGTATCAGCAGTTCAAGTTACTGAGTGAACACCCAGCGAGGTACATTGCGGCTCAAAACATTCACAGGACAATGAGATTGCCCAGAAAGCAGCTTCATTCCCTCTAGCCCAGCACAGAAAGCCAGTACAGACATGTGACTGGATCCAACCGGATCTTCAGAACAGAACTGGTGTCTTCACTGTTGGTGCCACTGAAAGCAGAAATACGGGTATTGCTGTTCAGAAGGTTATAAATACGTAAGTATGTAAACAGTGTATTTAAAGTTGTATTAAACAGCAAAGGAAAAAAATAAATGCTGACAAGTATCTAAAGGGTGGGTGGAAGGAGGATGGAGCTGGACTCTTTTCAGTGGTTCCCAGTGACAGGACGAGGGGCAACGGACACAAGTTGGAACATGGGAAGTTCCACCTAAATCTGAGGAAGAACTTCTTTTGGGTGAGGGTGGCAGAGCCCTGGCAGAGGCTGCCCAGGGAGGGTGTGGAGTCCCCTTCTCTGGAGATCTTCAAGCCCCACCTGGATGCCATCCTGAGTGATGTGCTCTGGGCAACCCTGCTTTGGTAGGGGAGTTGGACTGGATGGTCTCTAGAAGGTTCCTTCCAACTCTGACAATTCCATGAACGACAC